TCTATTAGGCTGGATTTGGGAGCACTGGCTTGTGGCAATCGGGGAAGCTCTGTGTGCTGTCCTTTTCCACAGGCACTGTCCCTGCGCTCCCATTCACCACGAACCACGGCCAATGAGAGCGGTGGGGGCAGCACCTGCAGGCAATACCAGGGTAAAACCCAGCCACTGCCCAGGGGTCATAGGGACGTGCTGGCCACTTCTGGGAGCGGCACAGGACCAGGGCAAGCAGGAACCTTGTCTTAGCCCCGCTGCCCCACTGACTGGGAGCTGCCTGAGGAAAGCGCCCCATGTCCTCTCCTGCATCTCAATCCCCTACCCCAGCCCTGAGCCCCCTTCTGCACCCTAACTCCCTCCCAGAGTCTGCACCCCCAGCCCAGAGCCTCCTCCCGCACCCCAAATTTCTTGTCCCCTTCCCCACCCTTCACATTCCAACCCTCTGACCCAGCTCTGAGTCCCCCTCCTGCACCCAAACTCACTCCCACAGCCCACACCCTCACCCTCTATGCCAGCCGTAAGCCCGCTCCAGCACCCTCACTCCTGCCAAGGCCCCACACCTACACCCTAACCCCTGCCCTGAGCCCACTCCTGCCCTCCAAACCCCTTGGCTCCATCCTGGAGCTCCTTCCTACATCCCAAACTCCTTATCCCCCACCCAGAGCCCGCACCCCAGTCGGAGCCTTCACCTCCTCCTGCACCCAAACTCTCTGCTCCATCCTGGAGCCCCCTCCAATATTATGAACTCCTCCTTTTCGGTTCCATGCTAGAGCCTAGTGGAAGGCCTGAAGCCCGCGCAGCAAGGCTGTGTGTGGCTCAGGACTGATATATTTTCTGGGGATCAGTGGCCCCTGATAGGAAAAAGGTGTACCGGTAGTTCGGAATAGGAACGAGGTGTACCGGTAGTTCGGAATAGGAAGCCTAATCCGAACTACCTAGTTCAAGCCGCGTGTAGCCGCGGGCACGGAGTCCGAACTAGAGGACATTTAAAAATGGCAGCGCCCGGCAAGATGCAAATGAAGTCCGGGAAATTCAAATCCCGGGCTTCGTTTGCAACTCCGGTTGCCTACATTAACCACCCTAGTTCGAACTAGGGTGGTAGTGTAGATATACCCTAAGAGCCTTAGCATGTTGGTTTCTCACCTGGAGCCATACATCTCTTCCACTGCCTCAAAACTATTTGCACTGTAACCCACGGAGTGAATGACGGAGGATCGGGCAGGCGATGAACTCCTCAGAAAGATCTTTTTCACCCACAGGTCTTTAGTAAAGAGGAATCAGAGAGATGGGACATATGCTGATGTCTTCACTCAGAGGAAATGTCCTTGAAAGTCAATGGCGTGAGTTGCCAATTGAAAGTGAATGGGAGTTTTGGGCTGAGTTGCCAATTGAAGTCAAAGAATGCTCAAGATTGTTTCTCCGGGATCTGATCATTTACGCCCCAGAGCTTAGTTGAAGTCAAAGAAAGCTCAAGATTGTTTCTCGGGGATCTGATCATTTACGCCCCAGAGCTGAGCCAGGGATTCTATGGGGCTACACAACCACTGAGAAATGATATGTGCTACATGAAATGAAATGGGCTCTGCAGAATGAGTTAAAAACTGAACAAAGACCTTGATTTATTTCCTAATTTTTGTAAGTCTTAAATCAGATTCCTTAAAGTTCTTTTGAATCCCATGTGAACTAGGGCAGAGTTAATTTTTGTGTTACAGTTTTTGATTATCATAGCAATGTGGCAAGTCTCCACCATCCATAAGAACTGCAGAGCAAACAAGATAGGACTGTTTTATACCCCATTCTGGTCTCAATGAAGTACTATTATCTGCTACAAGTAGGCAAAATCATTGACTGTAAACACAAACAATGATTAATGGTGCAAGGCTTAAGAATACAGAAGGAGAGCTCTGCTTTAAGTCACAAACAATGGGCGTGTGGTGAGGGATGTTGAGATTAAAAAAACAAGAACAACCACAATCTGATTGTATCAATGACACAGTTTGTGTGCTTAGAGAACAAAGCATTGAATGCCTCCCTGGCCAGAAATGAACACGGAAAATAATGTGACTCTTTTAATTGGGGCTACCAGTCATTTTTCAAGCCCCAAAGGTTCTTTTTTCCACAAGCTGAATAATAGCCTGAAACACAGACTTCTTTGGAGACAAACCCTAAAGAATGGACCTTTTTGAGTCTCCAAAGCTAATCACATTATCAGCCAAGTTGATTTAGAAAAAGTTTAATTTTCTCTTGCAAAATCCCTATATGAATCCAAATGCTGGCACAAGAAGCCATACTTTCTGCTTAGCCACAGCCACCACAGATAAAATGAATGCAAGCCTCCTCATATGATTCAGGCCAGGTCTACTCTACACCCAGAAGGTTCGCTTAAGGTCTGCAACTCCAGCTACATAAATAATAATTACTAAACCTGCTAAAACGAACCCTGGAAGATCAACCCCCAGAGCGTTGATTCTCCAGTAAGTGGAGACACGGTCTTAGCAACATACCTGCCGATTACACTGGTTTGAAATCTCTCATTTTAGTTCCAAGGTTACCTTCATTTCATACAAATTTGGTTTCCTTTCACTTTATTCTGGAAAAATACTAACTTTAGGAATAGAGAACTGGAGCTGAGGTTACAGGATGAGTTATTTTTATAGCTGCATTTCCCAAACTGTGGGTTGTGACTAGGGAGAGAGGAGAAAAAGAAAATGCAAGAAAGCCAGAATAAATCCTACGTGAAGAGGCACCTGTACTGCAAGGATGCATGGGCTCCGCTCACTGCTACAGCAGTTGTGGCCTGGCTCACGGAGCACAGACTCGCAATACCATTCATTCAAATGTGGCCAGTCCAAATTAGTCCGTTCAACCTTTTGACTCTAAAGGCATCACCTAAATTTGTGTCTAGTGCACTTCTGGGATGGCTCTTTGGGCAACTGAACCAAGACAAACATAATGTCCACATCCTGTTTAAAGTTCAGGGCAACTAAGCAATCTGAGACAATATGTTCTGCATTTGTACAGTACCTAGAGCAACAGGGACTTGCTCCATGACAAGGGCTCTTAAGTGCTACAATAATACAAACTATAATGATAAACGCAGCACTACTTCTCAATGTGAATTTCATGGTAGATAGTCCTGCCTATATTATTATTTGATCGGGTTTTTTTTTTACATTAAAGGCAAGGAGAATCTTTTTTAAAAATGAACAAAAACAAATGATTTTTTTTGTAATGGATTAAAAGTGAAAGCCACACTCAGACTGTCAGTTTGTTTGTCAAGGCTCCAAAAAGAAGACCTACCATTATTGTGGCACTAAAAAAAATAGGCACCAATTAGTCTTTTAAAATAATTAATCAGTGACTGGACACTGCTAGGAAAATGCAACACTTGCAGGAGCTAACCATTATTTTTTCAAGAGAAGCTTACCAGATTCCCTCCTTATAGCAGGCTGGGACTTCCACTTGCACTGTTATATGCACCATCCATAGGATCCTGTCTTGCATGTCTTTCTAAACTGCACACATGCCAACTGTAGTTGAGAATTAAAGAGAATGCTGAATGCAGCGGTTTCAAAGCAAGCAGGTTTCTGATGAGACGCCAGCAGTACCTAACACGCTACAAACAGAGTGGAAGGGGGGGGGTGAGAGAAAACATTGCTTCCTTTGTTTTACACAAATATCCATTCTGTCTCTTTATCACACAGAGATGCAAGGGTGTCTACACAGCAAAGTTATTTCGGAAAAACAGTTGTTTAAACAAATGTGTTGCAAAAGAAAAAACTGTGTGTCTGAAAACTAGGTCCTGAGGATACTTTTTTTTCCAAAAGGGGTACTTTATGAAAAAAAAAAAAAGATGGAGAAACACTGATCTAGAAGCCTGCCAGAGCTCTTAGCAGAACTCTTGAACCCGTGGAAGAGCCACTCTAGTGGTGACGAAGCCTTCACAAGCCCTTTGCCCTCTCTAGGGATATCCTCTCCGTTTCCCAATTGACTGGGTGAGGCGACAGGACTTTCGTTTTCACATGGGCTCCACCCAGGCCTCTGGCGCTGAAGATAATACAATCACTCCTCTTAAAAAAAAAATCCTCCCCACCCAGCCGCCCCCGGCTGCCCCACCTGTGTAAGAGCCCAGTGGGGGAGCAGCATTTGCAGGAAGAGGATGGCGGGGAGCACAGCCCCCCCTCCCTGCCCCCCACATGCACCACCCCACTGCAGCCCGCCTGCCCCCCACATGCACCACACGTACACGCGGAGGGTGGGGGGGCACCACTCTCTCGCTCCCCATGTGCACAGGACCATCACCCTCGAGGAGGGGGCGACCTCGCTCCAAACTCCGGCAAGAGGAAGGGGTGGGATGCAAAGCAAAGAAGAGGAGTGGCCGGGGGAGGCGTGTGTATTTGGGGGCCCTTTTGCGGGGGGGGGGGGGGCTGGGGTATTGGGGGCGGGCCGGAGGT